ACTAATGTCAATAAATTCAGGGTACAAAATGCTCATAAACTCAACTCCACCAATTAAATCACACTCGACAAAAGATCGACGTCTGAAACGGGCCTTACGTTGTCTTATGTCCAAAGTTATGTTACGTTGTGTTATGTTATGTTGTGTTGTGTTGTGTTATGTTGTGTTCTGTTGTGTTATGTTGTGTTACGTTGTGTTCTGTTATGTTCTGTTATGTTATGTTACGTTGTGTTACGTTGTGTTATGTTGTGTTACGTTGTGTTACGTTGTGTTATGTTGTGTTCTGTTGTGTTATGTTGTGTTACGTTGTGTTATGTTGTGTTACGTTGTGTAACGTTGTGTTCTGTTATGTTGTGTTATGTTATGTTGTGTTCTGTTGTGTTGTGTTGTGTTGTTGTGTTACGTTGTGTTCTGTTCTGTTATGTTGTGTTACGTTGTGTTATTTTATGTTATGTTATGTAGGATAGCCTCAAACTTAGAGAAATAATCAAAGGGGTAAAATATTTTTTCTTTTTGTTCTGCAGATGTTTCAGTAAACAACGAAACGTTCAACAGAGAGAAAGGCGTTTCAGTCACGTGTTGTGCCACTGTAACAATCAGCGTGGTTATTAGTAATAATGCAGGTATAGTTTAATGATTTCAAACAACAACAACAACAACAACAACAACAACAACAATTTTTAATACACATTACACATTAAGTTACAATTTAAGTGAATAGAAAATGAAGTTGAATAAATAGGAATATATAAGGTTTTCTTAATGATGTGCCTAAAGGCTAAGTAAACTGGCAAGTTTTCTAGTTAGCCTTTAGTAATAAAGTTAAAATTTACGTTTCTGTAGAAATGAAAAAGAGTATTATAGTAGAAATAGATAAAGAATATTGTATGTTGTGTAGCGCTCCTTGAAGACAAAATGAAGGCTCCAAGGAAGTCTTCGGTGTCAGGGAATGAGTTTTGCTTTTTCTCAACTTACAATCTCGTACTCAAGAGTGTGCACTTTGGCCATCCAGCAGACCGCTGACATTAGCCTTAAAGACTCTGGGCTCGACATTGCTCAACTAATTAAAAATTACTTAATAAAAATAACAATCATTTATTAGGAAAAACTATCAAGTGGTTTTTCATAGAGTTCATAGAGTTCCTATTTTTTTTTTTTTAAAGTTTAACTAATATTTACACGACATTAAGATAAAAATACATAATAATTATATCTATTTATTATATAGATGATTTCTAACGGGCACTCTGATTGGCTAAAAAAGTGTGGTTTATGAGAGTATAAACCACGATTGTGCGCGAGCGATTTTTGAAAACGGCAACAAAATGGATTTTTGCTTAAGTTTTGCTCAAAATCTATAAAATAAAACAAATAAATAAGTCTCAGCCTGTGGTTTATACGTTGACTATTTATAATATTTGCGCCGTATTGTATTTCATTGTATAGAATTATAATATAATAATAATAATAATAATAATAATAATAATATGTGGTATTTATATAGCGCCGATATCCTCTTAGTTCAAAGGCGCTTCACATGTATAGATCATTTCACACGGACCGCTGTTTAAGGCGCAATTGGCAGCCACGCGGCTTACAATCATGAGGGGTTAGTAATTAGTATGGGTTAGTAGTAAGGCCTAGCCACACACACCGGGAATCATTCCCTACTCTTATGCGAACAGTGGTGTGGGCTCTTTAACGTCCCTCTAATACAGGTTAGTGAGTGAAGTGTAGAGAGACGGGACCTCCGATTTTACGTCGTTATCCGAGAGGACGAGAAGATCTTACCATTTGCAGATGGAGAAAAACAAAGGCAGCAACTTCTCCTCAATTATTTTAAGACCCTGAGTGTTGGTCCGGCCGGGGTTTGAACCTGCGACCTCCCGCACTAAAGTCCGATGCTCTACCTACTGAGCTAACCGGTCGGTTATAATGTTATATCTGTTGCCATAGTTTTATTTAACAAATAAATAAGGCTCAGCCGTGGTTTATACTCTGATAAAAGCTCGCTTGGTATTTGAAACGCACGAGAAAATGTCAACATTTTTGAGTGTGTTTCAAATGCCAAGCGTGCGTTTATCAGAGTATATATGATATCAAAGAGGCAAGATTTTGCTGTAACTCCGAGTTTCGTGCTACGCACTCATCAGACAGTATTTATATCATATATATAACTAGCTCTACACTTTATGTGTATTGAGCACTCTTTAATGGGATCAGCTACTTCCTCATACGAGTAAATAATCAACATAAATATTAATATTCAATATTTTCATTATTCATGTTTTATTCTAGATATATCTTACAAAAACATGTCTTTACGATTTGAGCCGTACCAGGACCACGCGAATGGCTATCGTGCGAGCGAACTAAATGGTAAAGTGGCCTGGATCGGAGATTTGTCATCGTGCGAAAACGAGGTAAGTGCACGCATAGTGAATGAAATAATAACACAGGTAACCCAAGCTAAGCATTATAATAGTCCATTCCCTTAGTTCCCTTAGTTCAATGTAGGTTATCAATGTTCTCAGAATAAGTTTTT